CTGCCCAGAGCTCCTGAGTAAATGTGAGATGGTGAGTACCCCACCCCATTCATCTGCTAAGGCTGGCCTAGGATTTCTTCACAGAACCTTCACATCTCTCCAGAACTGCCTTTGACCTGACAGCTCCGTTTCTTAATCTATGCCTGTTCCCCTTGCTGTCAGTCCTGAAGCTCTTCCAACTTCTCCTGTGCCTTTTAGAGGTGAGTGACAGCACCTGGTCCCACGTGGCAGAGCAGGGCTGCATCTTCTCCTGGTGTGTCCCGTTGTGCTGGCACCATGAGCTGAGGAGGTGTCCAGCAGTCCCAGGGAGGCACAGCCCTCTGTTCCCAGGGGGATGAGTGTGCTGCCCGTGCCCAGGCACGGCTGAGGTGTTTGTTTGTTCTTCTGTGTGGCTGTGCTCTCCTCTGGCTTTGGGTGAGTGTGCTGGTCCCTGTTTGTTTTTCTGTGTGGTTGTGCTCTCCTCTGGCTTTGGGTGCCTCAGCACGGGCCAGTGATGGAGCCCCCATCCCTGCAGGGACCCGACAGCCGTGGGGGTGTGGCCCTTGGGGACTTGGCTTAGGAGTGGCCTGGGCAGTGATGGAACAACTGTTGGATTCAGCCTCAGATCTTTTCCAATCCAAACAAGTCTGTGATTCCATGGTGGAATTGTTTTGCTCTGAAGTCAGTCCTGCCTTCTGTGAGCCATTGCTGCTCCCCAGAGCCCCCAGCCCTGCTCCCGTGGCTCCTGTGCCCCAGCTCCTGCAGTGCTGCTCCTCTCTGCCCCACACAAACAGGCTGGCCCTGCTGAGGATCTGCCTGGTGCCTGCAGAGTTCCTTTGCCGTGGTCAGTTCCCGGCAATTGTGCAGTTGGAGAGCAGGGGGCTGTGCCAGACCCACAGCCACCTTTACTGGCACCTTCTCTGCTTTTTGTCCTGGCTCCATCACCAGCAGGGGCTGGACAATGGGAGACAGCCACGCTGTAATTTTTAGCATCTCCTTTGAGCCCCTTTGTCTCACAGTGAAACTTTTGTCACCTGGGACCCTTCTGAGTCGGTCAGGTCCAGGTGTGTGTCCTGAGGTGTGGAAATGTCCCTTCCCCAGGGATGGAGGTGGCCCAGGGGCAGCTGTGTCCTGGCACTGGGGTCTGTGCCTGAGGCAGGGGATCCAGGTACGGGAGCCCCGGATCTGTTATTTGGAAAGAAAATGAAAGTGTATCTAGAAGGGCACAACAGAGAATGACCATACAGAACAATCAAAGATGGAAACGCTCTGGGTATTCAGCATTTCCTCCCATCAGGACGCTTAGATCTTTGCTTTCCAGTTTAATTTGAAATGCTCTACTGCTAACAGTGGTGAGTAGTGATGGATTATGACTTAGTGGAAGATTAATTAATCTGTGTAGTAAGTCTGTGCTGAAATGTGGAACCTTGTGTGGTTCATAAGAGAGGGGAGGTCTGGGCTTTGCTCCCCCAGAGTTTTTAGTTCAATTCTCTTAACCCCGTGGTATCAGTGGGCTTGTGTTAAATGTTCAATTCCTTCCACTTAACTTTTGAAGCTGCACTGTCTATCAGTGTGTTTAAATGATTTGCTGTCTCCATGAAGCTGGTGTTTAAACTCCGTTCTCCCATCTCTTGTTGCCGTGTAGTGTCACCCTTGTTCCTCGCGTCTCTCGTGGTTCAGGTACTTGATGCTGACACTTGCTGGTGAAGGGGTGGAAGCACACAGAAACATCTTGGGCTGCTTTGCTGGGAATCAGGTGCTGGCTCTGCTCCTCGTGCTCTGTAACCTCATTCCATGGCATGTCTGTCTGCCTGTCCTGCCTGTTTTCTGGCAGTTGCACTGAAAACTAAAAGGCAGGAAATGTCACTTTTTAGGTAAGTCAGGCAGATTATTTTCTTCTCTGAAGACCAAGTCATCCTGCCCTTCATTCATGGTGGGACTCACCCAAGAATCCGGTGTGTAATCCCAGCTCCTATTGCAATAACAGCAGGGAAAACGGCCTTGAAAACCACGTGGGTGTTAAAAATGCCAGACCCAGGGAACATCTGCTCCTGGGGTCTCTGTATCCAAAAGCTGCTTTCCCTGTGTGCCAGTGTGTGCCTCTCCCTGTGTGTGTGCCAGCTGCCCTTGGAGGGGACCTGTGACCTCCAGGGTGTCTGTGACTGCTGTCCCTGCTGGAGGGTGTCCTGTCCTCTCCTGTCCTGTCCTGTCCTGTCCTGTCCTGTCCGGCCCCTGGTCCTGCTGGGGTGGTGGCCTCTGGGGAGGGTCAGGGCACGCCTGTGAGTGGCTGCTGGAGAGTTCCCTGCTCACAGAGCTGGAGCTGTTGGTGGCCAGGTTTGGGTGCCTGGCACGCTCTCTGCTGCCACGGCGTGTTTCAGTTGTTCACTTTCTCCCGATTTCTCAACCAGAGAATGGAATGTTTTAAGGGAATTGTTGTGCTTGAGTAAATAAAGGAGTCATGTTCACTACCAGATTAAAGAGTGCCCTATTTTGAAAGTTTGGGAGCACATTTTCCTCCAGCCTCTTTGATCCTTTAACTCCTTGGCAGTCACTTTATTCCATTCCTTGGTCTCCAGGGTGCTGGAGTCCTGACTTCTGTCCTGGGACAGTGCATCACCACTGGCATTGCCAGGACTGACCTCAGGAATGGGCTTGGGGAGGGAGGAAACGTCTCTTGCTGCGTGTAGGGACTGCAGAATTTCAGTCAGTAGCTGCAAATTCCTCCTGTTGTCTTGTGGTGTAAAATGGCTCTGTGGGAGGGGGAGCAGTTCCAAGGTGCTGCTGGCCCGGGTAGTGAGAGGAAAATCTTCCAGCACTGTGCTGTTACCCCTCTGCCAGCTGAGGGGAACGCCTTGCTGGCTCCTCTGGGCAGCAGCTGAGGCAAATTAGAGCAGAAATGATCCAGATGTGCAATGTGAATCCTGGGATACACTGCCAGGGGTTGTGGATGGACTGGCTGTGGAAATGACATGGACAGGTCTCTCCAATGGAAGGAGCTGTCATGAATAACCAGGAGCAGCTCTGGGGATTTCCTGATGGAGCAGAACAGACAAATCTCGAACTCTGGTGGGTGCAGTGTCCCTGAGGATGTCAGGGGATGGGGACAGGCTCCTTGGAGCAGGAGGGGGTGCACAGGTGTCTGTGGCTAGCCCTGTGTGAGGCACAGCAGGGGTGTGACACCGGGTTTGTCACCTGCCCTGCTCAGGGGGATGGGACTGGGAAAAGGCTGGATCTTCCCAAGGACGTGTCCAAAAGAGCCCAGGCTCCTCCCCTGACTCCACAAGAGGTGAGGCAGCTGAAGCAGCACAGGTGCCAGACACTTGTATTTTTATGTATTTTGTATTTTTATTTCAATCCTCTTTCTGCTCTGGTAACAAAGGGCTCTGGATGGACACAAACGCTCTTGAAAACAGGGTCAGGGATTTGCATCTGCTTGGTGATTTCTATCAATTTTTCTACATGAGAAGTCAGCCAGCAGCACAGGCAGGTGTCCGAGGAACCTGAGCCTTCTGCTTTTGCAGAATTACGTTTAAAAGTGGTCTGTGAAAGTCTTCTGTGAGGAAAGTGTCTTGTCTTCCACAAAACTCCAGCTCTGATCTTGTCTCTGAGGAGATTCAGGTACAGTTTCCATTTTTTGCCCCCGTGTGAGGGCAGGATTTGGTGGTGCAGAGCCCCTGTCGTTCTGGCAGTGGCTGTGTCACTGTGGTCAGGGTGAGGGCACAGAGCTCCTCGAGCATCCCCAGCTCACCCCGTGTTTGTGGGGCTCAGAGGGGCCCTGAGCTGCTCGGGATGTGCAGGGACAGTTTTGGTCAGCTCTGCTCCCAGATAATCTGCAAGTACAGAGTTTGGACAGATCTGTCAGTTATCCACTGCAGGTGACGTAATAAAGACAATTTCCCACTTTATTTTTAGACTGTGAGAAAGGGAGAAAAACACCGAAATGACGTGTCTAAAGCCCCGAAGACACTTACAACAGTCTTGGACTCATTTCCTCAATAATGCTTTTATTTTGCAGTTTTGGTGATGATGTGTCTGTTTTCCTTCTGCTAGGGCTCTAATTTATTTGGGTCTGATGAGTCTTGCTCCTGGCAGCAGTTCTAGGAGCAGGGTAATGCCTCTAAGGAGAGATTTGTGTGCTGTGTGTGATGGATGGTGCCTGCTCCTGTGCCGGGGCAGCAGCTCCTGGCACACCCAGGACAAACAGGGGCACCCCGTGCCAGGGGAGTTTGTTGTGGTCCCGAGCTGGGGATAAACAGCACCAGCTGCTATTTGAGAAGGGTGGCCCAGGATGGAGGTTGTTGTAAGGGAAGCAAGGAGTGTCACAGGAACAGAAATCAGATTCCTGCTGGTGTCTGTCAGCACTCCTGTGCTCCTCTGGGGACTCTGACACTGCACAACCAGGGAATGGTTTAGGCTGGAAAAACCCTCTAAGATCTTTGAGTGCAGCTTGACAAGGCCACCACTAACCCATGTTTTACTTTTCAACTCTCTTTTATCCTTAAAGAAAAGCAAGCCCCTCTTCCCCACAATTCCAAAAGAAACAAAGATTTATAGCTAAAATTGTTGTCCTGAGTGGAGCAGGGCTCAGCCTTGCAGAGCTGGAGCTGCCCAGGAGGGGCTGCCTGGACAATTACTGAGTCTCGGGAGAGGGGGAGGAGGAGTCTGTCCTTGTGCCCCGTCTGTCCTGGGGTGCTGTGTCTCGGTGCTGGCACCCAGTCAGCTCTGGCACAGCTGTGGGCAGGGATGGGCGAGGGCTGCCAAGGTTTTGGGAGCTTTTGGGGAGCTGCTTTTTGGGGTGGCCGCTCTTCTCTACCACAAAAGCCCGCTGACATCTTTAAAACCCGCTGGGAGCAAGACTGACAAACTTGTCGAGTGTGAATGCTGGGGACCTGCGCTGCTGGGGTGTCCTCCTGCAGTGCAGGACCCTGTGCCCGAGCTCACACGGTGCCCAGCTGGCACGGTGCCCGGGGCTGTGCCGTGCCAGCCCGTGTCCCCACGCTGTCCCTGTTTCAGGCCTGCAGTGCGTGTGCCAGCTGTGCGAGCACACCAACTTCACATGCCACACCGAGGGCGCCTGCTGGGCCTCGGTCATGCTGACCAACGGGCGAGAGGAGGTGGTCAAATCCTGCGTGTCCCTGCCCGAGCTGCACGCCCAGGTCTTCTGCCACAGCTCCAAGAACGTCACCAAGACCGAGTGCTGCTACACCGACTTCTGCAACAACATCACACTGCGCCTGCCGCTCGGTGAGGGCCGGCGGGGCACGGGCTGCGCTGGGGACCGGGCAGGGCTGGGCTGGGCTGGGC